CTCTCTTTACCTCTCCTCACCCAGAGATAAGCACACATTTGAACCGCAGCTACCTCTGCAGTACCAGCTGTACTGCAGCATAACACAACTTCCTCTTGTAATGCAGTGTACCACAACTTCCTCTTGTAAAACACTGGCATTTTCCAGCATCTGGAGGGAGTCAGTCCTGCACAGACTGCTCAAACCCCATCTCTCAGTTGTGAAGGAACCTGGCACATGATAGGGACAGTGGTTCTGTGGAAACTTCCATGGAAAATCATCCAGTGTGTTGTGTGAAATGTAAAATACTGCATGAAATCTGGATGGGGATGTGGGGGGCAGGAACAAAAATCACGCTGTCTGGTTCACCTTGTCTGTAGTGGGGTGATAGAGTGCAAAGGACTCTGAGAACAGCCATATGACACCTCTGGATTGACTAGACTTCTGGCTGCCTGTGCTCTCATACGATCCCCCTAAAAATAGAACCTTATGGTTCCCATCGTGGTTTTCCAGCTATTTTAATTTGTGGTCTCCAGTTTTCGCTTTGTGATTCGTAAATTGGAAATATTTACGCTAGGCCAGTAACTCCACATTCTTCCAACCTCTCCTTAAACTAGATGGATTACAGCTATGTTTATAAATTACCTAATGCATCTGTCCTAATCTCTCTAAATGCTGCTGGCTTCAATATAATAATGGGAACTAATTTTTAGATCACTCAGACTACTTACAGGGTTTTTTTGCCTCATCTGATATGTCACAAGTGGGCTCATTTCTTAACCTTTAGTTGAAAGAGTGGTTCGTTGAGTGTCCTGGGACAGGCTGAACCTTTTCTGCAAATGGCAAAGTGCTGTCAGTTTCTGCTGACAATTCCTGATGAGAAGAGAAAGATTTCCAAGGTAAATCAGGTCTCAGATGGCAGAGGTACCTAACATGTTTTTGGCTGTCTTAGTGCAATCCCTTTGAAAAATGGGCTCAGGTAGAACATTGCTTTGCAGGATTAATCGCTTACTTGTAGAATAATTTAGTCCTCTTCTGGCGTTTTGCATCTCCCGAAGCAAGTTTCTTTTCTGCCACATCTGTCTTCCACTCTTTGTAGAGTGTTTAATAGTGAAGCAATTATACAAAAGCATATTTTTGGGGTTCTGCAGATGTGATCACAGTATCTGGGATAGCTGTGTTACTGGCAAAAGCATAACTGCTCCTGACTGAAGAGTCAGTTTAATTATGGGGGAAATAAGTAGGATGAGTTTGTGACTGACATCCTTGCCAAAACTGTCACTGAGGCTGTGTTTTTAGGATCCTTCTAATCTATATTCTGTTCTGGTGCAATGGCCAGGCACCTCCCACAGTTTCAGGATGAGTGTTCAGAGCTGGAATCCAGACAAGTCATTTCTGAGTCAGCTGAGTCTGGGTGCTATTGATGGCACAGAAGCAGGGAGAAGAGATCAGGAGATTAGAAATTATTTTAAAATTGATTTTAATGTCTTATTCACAAATGGACAAAAAGTTGGTGGAACCAATGTCTGCCAGTGATCATAATGCAAACAAAGCTGAAATGTAGCAAAGTTGGTTGGTTTCATAAGAAATCTGATTTCAAAGAAGAAACATAGCAATTCTTTTTAAGAAATAATATCTTTTACTCTTTCTGAGGGCAGGATAAAAATAATTTTGATATTGTATTATATTAAACACCATATTATAAAATTATTATGAAAGATTAAATTAAGGAAATATTTCTTTTTCTTGAACTATTCTGAAATTTATTCCAGAGCTTCCTTTTACAGAGACTTTTTACTTTGCTAGGCTTCATTCAAAGCTTCAGTAAGGACAAATAGAAAAAACTCTAAGGGCTTAAAAAACTTCTCTCCTTGTCAGAGCTCTAGGAGTCCCTGGAGCTGGGACTGACAAACTCTGGCTACTGATGAACTTTGAACTCTAAGGAGTAGCCCTGGAGAGAGGCTGTGGATGAGTCCTGCCCTGGTCTCGTTGCACATATTCTGCACAAGGGGTGGATAAGTAGCCCTTCCAGTAAGGTGGAGAAATGGCCCCAAGGGAAAAGGCTGTAGGACTGCTAATGGTTCTCAGGTACTGGGGACCTTTCTTTCTTCACCTACATCTCAGCTGGGTTTGTCAGGACAGAAGTTGGTTCAAACCAGGATGTGTAAGGGGCTGGGCCCAGAAGAGGACACAGAGAGAGGGGAGAAATATGGCAGAGATCTACCTGTCATTTCTTCTAATACCAGGTGCAAAACAGCCTGTGTTGGCTAACAGGAGGTGCTGAGCAGAAAATGCAGCCTTGATCTTGTTACCCTTTGTGAGAGAAAATGCCTATAAGCAATACTTCCTTGCTTCACTGCCTTTGTTTGGCTGATATGACCCTGAGGCTGCTCTGTCCAGCCAATGTTCTACACTCATCTGTCCAGTGCCCAGAGATCAAGTTATTCCACTCACTGTGATAATAATCAACAAAACATTCAATCTGTAGCTGCCAGGTAAGAACTGAACCTGCATTCCTCGGCTGGACAAAAAGTGCTGTAAGCAAACAACTGAGAACTCAATATAGTCCTATTGCTCTCATGGGTTTCTAAATAGACCCCTTGCTTGTTAGTGCCATGAGAATTATAAACATTTACTTTCTACAACCAAAACAGTTTGATGTTTGCATTTTCCTAATCCAGGGTGATGTTTTCATTTCTGTTTATAATCAGTTCCACTTTTTGCTTTCCATATACCAGCAACTTTTCACATGTGATTCGTGCATTGACCCCTCGGGGTCTGCATACTGCTACCCTGGGATTTGCAGCTAAGGTAACAAAGGAAAAAAAACTGTCTCTTTCGGTAGGGCAGAGCTCCATTTATTTCCCTGGAGACAGTGTTCAGGGATAGGAGACAAGTCAGAAAAAGCTGAAAGCTACTCCTCTTGCATAAGGCTTACATGTCTGTATTCTCAGCATTGCCAAGCATACAAAGTTTCAAGTGTGTGTGTATGTGTGAAAGATACATTCATTATACATACATACATTTCCATTGATGTATTTGTGGAATCTGCATACTCTTTTCATATAGATTTAAAATTTCAGTCTGAATTGCTGTCTACGGAAGTTCAGTGTGATCTGTTGTTGCTCTACACTCACTGAATGGAAGCAGCAGGAATTTTTGCTTTGTAAATTTTCTGGGAGCAGGATAACAACATCTAAGTTCCGCTGGGTCATGTTTGCTGTGCATTATTCAGTAATTTTCCCCAGAAGTGGTTTTATTTTAATGACAGGCCATCTGATCCCAGAGTCTCATCTGAGCACTGAATTTGCAAGTATATATCTTTATTATCACCATATTTGAGTAAGGCTATCCCAAGATTTGAGTCCTTTCAAAGCTGCAGTCTGTGAAGCACATTCATCATGACGAATGGCGTTAACCCCAACTGCTTTCATGTGAGAGGCCTGTTTTAGATTTACCAAACAATCAACCACCCTTCCTGCACTAGCAGTTACAATTTCCATAGGGGTCTTTCTAGTTGTGATTCAGCCTCTAATCAGTTCACAAGTTCACGAGCTTATAGAAAGCAGGGCTATACCTGCCTCACTTCATAGACAGCAAGGATGGGTTTATTTTTAGCACAAGTATTCCAGAAATACATTCCACTCCTCTTTAGAAATGTGTGGGAGAGACAGGCACATATACAGACGGTTTTGCCTACATCAGTGGCAGTGGGGGCCTGAAAACTACTTTTCCGCTGTCTGTTTTAATCCCAAACTTCTTTTTTTTCAGTATGCACCTGTTCTCTTCAACGTCTGAGTTCATAGGTGCTGTGATTCATGATACACCAGACCTTTGTGCATAAGTACTCTTACAGGTGGAGGACATGGGAAACTGTTGGAACTGTGTATTTCCAGGCCAGAACTTAGCAGAAGTTCCCTGATGTTTGGCAAGACCAGCATTCAGCTTGGACTGTGTTAGAAGAAACACTTGAGCACCAAAAGCCCAGACCAGGAGTTTAGGAGAATGGTCTTCATAAAATCTTCCTGCTGGTAGCTAAAGTGAACAATACACTTCTCTCAGGTGGTGAATTCAAAGCTGGAGATTGCTTTGGAGAAGGCAGGTCATTGTCCCTCCAGGGAGGGATAGGCCTGGGCTACTCTTGGATCTCAGGGACAATTAGTTCATCACAAGCGTCCTGGTGCTTGGAGATTCTCAGGCAGCAGCTACTGTGTGGTTGTTATCTTGTTCATGCTGTAGCAATGTAATTAGCAGCCCTTTTTAAAATGCAAATGACACTGGGCTCATGTGGAGTCCTGCTCTGTCATGGAAGCAGGAGTTGGGCTGTAATCACAGGAGATCCTGCTTCTTATTTTGCTGCAGGCTGTGATTCAAGTCCAATGTGATGCTGAGCCTCAGTAGAGTCCCATGACTTCAGTAAGGAGCTGTATGCACCAGTGTGGCCCAGGGTGCAATCCATTGTTTAGTTTTTGCAGTACAAAAACTTAGCTTGTTGACTTCATGGCATATTTCCCCTATTATTCAACATCCTATTGCAGTGTGCCAAATGAAACCCAATGCCAGCATGTATCTTCCAGGAGGATGGCTGATCTTGTTTGCTTTGGAAGGACTGTGGAATGGGGTCCTTACTCCAAGAACACTGGCTACATTTGTCCAGCCTTGATGATGAAATGAGCTATTTATGAAAAAGCACCCATAAGATAGTAATGTGTTGCTTGTGTGCAGACTTACACAGTATTTTTAGTGGTGACCTTAATAAACACTTTGACTCACACCTGTAGGCACAAAAATGCAGTGCTCTGAGGTTTGATTCATTGGCAGTAGTGAGCCAATTGCACAGCACTGCTTTCTGTATTAGTTATCTCTGAAGCATTACCAGTGGCGAATCTGAGTGTAAAAATAGCTGATGACTGTTTGTTTCATCTGTCTGTTACTTGACACCGCATGGTTATTCCAATACGTATGTTTGCCTCTTCCCCACCATGATCTCCGTTTGGTTTCCCCTTGCCCGATAACTATTTAAATACATTTTACTAACTTCGGATTCCTTGCTCATTTCACTTCACCTGGCTGGGCAGGTCTGCGAGGGCTCAAGGGTTAGCTCCTCCACTTTTGCTGTTTTATTTATTTTTCAGTCATCATTTTTATTAAGATAACCATGTTCAGAAGAAGAGTCTGACACACATAAATAATGGGAAGTGCTAATAGTAAGCAGACTGCTGTAAAACTTGCTGGGGCTTTGACTTAAGGCAAGAAAGTGCAGCCCTGCGCTATCCCTATCAGGAATCTGGAGCACAGAAGGTAAGAGAGAAGCATATGGATGTTTTTAAAACAAGGAAACTGTTAAGGAATGGTGGTTTCTGAGCATGTGAATGTGTGTGCACTCAAGGATAAGTTGTGTGATTGATCAGGTAAGAGAAATCAAACAGCATTTAAATATTTTCTTTAGTGATTAGAGTTGGAAAGTCCTTTTGTTTTGTCCAGCTTTTTTCTGCTCTGAGAAATGCAGAATTGTCTCTGAAAGTTTGTTGTGGAAAGATTTGAATGCAGTGATTACTGTTTATGACATATAATTATTTTATAAAGGGGCATGATCTTAAAAGACCACTAAATTGCTATGAAGCTCCATTTAATTGTCTGGTGCATTGTTCTGTAAGTAACTTTAAGCAAATACATTGATTGTATTTTCCAGATGATTACTGCCTACAGATAAACTAGTTTTAAAAACTTTTGTGATTTGTATAGGGGTCTGAGGCATTTTTGTTTTCTTTTTTGGAATAAATAGGAATAAAATAATTTAAATATTTTTTAGAAAGCAGTTAGTATACTACAGAATCTGAAAAAGTAAAATAATTCAAATACTTAGTGCTAAGAGGCCACTATAAATGACTGTGACTATGACTTGTATCCAATTTTAATCGCTGGAAAATTTCTTAAATGGCATAAGCTTTTCTGCCTCCAGTTGTTGCAGAACTTAATCTGCTATCCCAAGGAACTGGATTTTATTAGCCTAGCTGCAGAACTGAGAAGCAAAATAAGAACAGAAATAATTAAAATTGAGCTCGAGAAGACAAACTGGTTATGCTTTTTTAAATGGCCTGTGAACAGGCAATGTGATTAAATCTGAGTAAGGAAAAGTTTTGCAGCAAAAGACCAAAGTGATTGGTTCACACTGACTTCGTACAGTACCAGCTATAGGGCTCCTCAGTGGTCCTCTGACATTGCTCGGACAGAGGCTGGGGAGAAGGAAAAGTGAGAAGAGATAAGGACAAATAAGCTTTCTGGACAGGATCAAAGGCTATGGCTCTCTACCTTCACTTCTTCGAGAAACTGTCTGTGTGAAAAACAAATGCCCACAGATAAATTCTTGAAGGATGAGGTCTGTGACAAATCCTAACAAGTAAAAGATTCCCAGTACATTGGAGCCCCAAACCAACTACATTTCTCCATCCTTCCACGCTTGTCACTAGAAAGGTATTGATATACATATTATCAACTTAGTTACCAAAACAGTTATAACAGGACCTCTCTGGTGAACTCGAAACCACAGTTGGGTGGAGGTATGCAGGTGTAATTGCACCCCAGTACTGCAAACCAAAAGCACACAGAAATTTTGCTCTGTAGCCCCTTATTCCTACCTGCTTCTCTGAAATGCTTGTCTTGCTTTACTTGCATTACTAGAGCTGTGCAAAATGTCCATGAAAATGTATATCCCTCCAAGACCAGGGAAAAAGCCAACTAACCCTGTGAACCATGTTGGGAGAAAATACCACTCATCCATATCAGTCTTTCTGTTCTTTAGTCCAGCTGAGTTTACAGACAGGGAACGTTGCTGGCAGAGGCAAAATCTGCAAATGGTTTTTAGCTGCAGGCTTCACTGTGCTGACTTGCCTGCAGCCACGGTGCCAGGTCACACAGAGCTTTGTCTACTATAAGCAAATGGGTGAGTTCATTGCTTTTAGAGGTAGTGTGCATTGCTTGAGGTAGTGTCACATTTTGGGATCATGTGTCTGTGAGCCAGCTGACAGGTGTATGGGGAAAACGACCAAAGTGGGAGCTGCATGTGTGCACTGATAGGGAAACTTTACCCTTGAGAAAAGGTTGATCATCTTCAATCAAGCCTGCATATGTTTTTGGACGGGTCAGTGATTGCTTACACATATATATCTAAAGTTGTGTGTGTGTGTGTGTGTGTATATGTATTTATGTACGTAGGTATGTATATTTGTGTGTGCATGTCAAGCTTGCTGTTTTGTGACTGTCTTGGTGCTTGCCAGGTTTTTATGGCTCTCAAGTGTGTGTGGTGGGAGAGACTGCCACCAAGACCCCTGTCCTTTACCAGCCTCAGAGAAACTGAGGAGCATTGAAGCCGTAAGAGGACAACCCTTACACAGAAGTAAAGTTTCCTCTCCCTTGGGTTTCCCTGCCAAATGATCCTCTTTGGACAGGAATAAAAAGCAGATATTTAATTGCAGTCCTAGGTTTCTTTATCATCCATCTCCTGTGCTTGCAAATAACAATATACAAGAAGGCAGTAGCTAGTAATGATTAATCTAAATCATCTGGTAACAGTCAGACCAATCTTTTTATGAGCCAAGCAGGTCAAATAGGGATGCATCTTTATTTTCAGCCTCTCACATAGCTACATCCCATCAATTTCAAGGATGCTTTCCCTGTTACTTATACGCTTGTATGCCACTTATATACTTATATGGCAAAGGGTGTTTTGGGGACTGTCATAGGACTATGACAGTCAGGTACGCAAAGGCTACCTAATTCACACTTTCCACTTGGAAAAGATAGATATGAAAATCTCTGCAATTTTTTGAAGAATCTCTAAAAGACATGTATGTGGTAAATATTTGGCTACATCTTAACATGCAAAGTCAGCAAAGAGTAGTGTCCAGCAGTTTGCAGCTTCTGCAGGTCCACAGTTTCAGATGGGCCTATATCATCTTTACTTGGATCAGACATAAGCTCTCATACCTTAAGGCCAGCTTGGCCTGCCTGTCAGCTTCATTATAGACCCATGTACAATTTTGCATGCTTCTGATGGCTTTTGGTCTGTTGATACTTGGTTCAAATGTGTCCCTCTCCCCATCCTTTGCATGTTTTCAAAGCACAGGGCTCTGTTGTGCAGAAACTGGATGCTGGCGCAGAAGAAAAAACATACTCAGAGGGAATTGACCCCTGCAAGCTGCATCCAGGGTTTGTGCTGAGGCAGTGGGGCAGCACTACTTATCATGATGTTGTTCACTGAGACACTCTGTTTTGACTGATCTACTTTGAAGTAGTGACATTAGGACTCGGTCTGTTTCTCCAAAACTGAGAAATTATTCTTTGCCCATGCTTGTGAAATGAATGAAGCCATAGACGAGTAGCTAGAATTGCCCCTTTGGTTATGTGGGAGAACTGAGGAGAAGGGCTGGGAAAGAAGTAGCTGGTGCTAGCACTGGCCTGACAGTGATGCTATTGTCTGCCTGCAAACTTCTTCAGGGGGTCTGGGTGGTCTGGAAAAGCACTGTGATGACAGCATCATTGAAGTTGCTGAGGGAATGACTCAGCCAAAGTCATCAACATATCTCTTAGGGAAGAAGTGTGGATTCTGATTAAAACTCCTGATGTTTTCCTTTCAGTCTTTTGCATATATCCCTTACAGAATCATTGCAAGAAACACCATAGCATGCACATTAACTGTGAAAGAATGAGGAATTGCCTTGGGGACACACTATTTAATCATAACAATTAATCAATCTCTGAATAGGAAGAGGGAGTCTGCATTACCCAGGGCAAAATCAAAACAACTCCTGTGCACGGTGAAGAGGGAACTGGAAGGAGCTTCCATCTTGCTCAGGGTGAGATTTTTCTCCTGGCTTTGCTCCACAAAAAGTGGGAAGTAGTATGGCCTCCAGAGATACCTGGGGGCAAGGGTGAGTGGGCTCTCCCCTGCTGTCCCTCTCAGAGTCCTCCCATGGCTGTCCCATGGCCATCTTCCATACAGCAAGCAAAAGGCAAGCCACAGCTTTTGTCCTTCAACTTGAATGGCTCTGCTATGATCACAAATGGGAAGCGCTTTGTCATCAGAGGAGAAATGTTATGTGAAAGGATGGTTATGTGCTTGAGTCATATGCTCTGGCATGTATGTGTGTATTACCCTCCTACCCACACTCCCAAGAACAGAGTTCTTTGGACTGCATTTGAAAACCGTAGCAAGATGTAAGCAAGAAATAGCTCTATTCCTGCAGCTTGAGCCAGAAAATTTTGAAAACCAAAGCCTCCACCTTCTCCCTTACTTCTGGTACACATACCTATTTGTCTTTGGTAACATAATACAGGTATTTCAGGATATTGCCTGTCCCTAAATTCTGTGGAATTCAGTGGGTGAGAAGACTACTTAGAACTTGGAACAATTATGAACCTAGCATGTAAAAGTGGCTTGAATTTTTTCTTTATAGAAAACAGATCTACAAAATCTTTGTCCAAACCTTGAAAGTATCCAGAAGTTATAAAGGAAAGGAGTGAGACTACTGGTAAAAGAGTAATACTTGTCTTCTGCAAGCCTGTTATTTCCTGAGACTGTATCCTGTATGAGTGGTTGTGGGTCAGACTCTCCTTGTCAAGAAGCTTAAATGTAAGCTTGAGTGTAAACTTGACAGTGCAGATGGTATTGGTGTGTTGGGGCGGATGAGGAGAGGGCAGTGTAAGTGGGGGATGGTTTCAGATTCCCAAGTCTGGAAAGAAAAGTGAGGCATGGCTGGTTGCTAGCTGCAAATTTCCTTGGGTAGGTCACAGAGGAGAATGCACCTGCTTCCCTCTTGTGTCTTACGTACTTGCTGGATTCATTACAATTTTCCCATGACAGGGGCTGGGACTGTGTGGCGTGCTCCTGATTACAAGGCACCCAAACCATTACATTTGTTTTCTTGTCCATGTATTTTATTTCCCTTCCCCCTCTGTCATCTCCCATCTCAAGTCATTACAATCCTGTGGTACTCTACAACTTTCCCTCTCCTGTGGGAAAGTCTCTCTCCCATTCAGGACGTGAAAACTCAGATTTCATCATCTAAGCCTTTCTTGAGACTGAATGGAAGGAGATGAATACTTGTCTCATCAGCCAAAATCCTGCCAGTGCTCAGCGAGGGGGCTGTACCATTGCAAAGTCAGTTGTCACCATGAATTAGTGAGGAAGGTTTGAGTTTTAATGATCTCAACAAGATATAGGTATCAAGCACCTGAGGCAAAGCAGATATCTTTGCAGTTAGTCACCTGCAAATCTGGACGGATTTCACTGTACAATATAATGTCAAGCTACAGCACTATACTCAGTTGAAGGTGGGGTTTTTTTTGCAGAGACTAAAGTACTGTCACTTATGAAAGGCAGTGGGAAGGAATATTTTTTGCCTTAACTGACAAAAGTTAAGCTCTTCTTGTGCGATTCAGAAAACTTAGATTTGGTTCCATGCCCTGCCACAGATGCCCTGTTTGGTCTTGAGCAAATCAGTCAGTTGAAGCTGGACCTTAGCTGCTGATCTGTAAATGAGACAGAAATCCTCCTTGCAGTAGGAGAGTTTATAAAGATAAATAGCCACGAGGTGTTCATGTACCATATTGCTGGGGAGCTGTATAAATATCCTGGTGTATAGTGACTGACCTAGTTACAGACAGTGGCCTTTTCCAGGCAGACATTTAATGCCAAGAAGTGCACTGTTTGGGTTCAGTTGCTTAAATGTCACTTGTCTGTGCTGACTTTGGGTCATGGGAGGAGCACTGTCCCTTTGCCTTGTATTTCTCATGGACTTGTGCTGTTTGTCAAGTGCTGCACCTGCCCTTTGCCTGTGTTAGTCGTGTGCTCTGTGCCTTTGGCTTCCCCTGTCACGTCTGCATGTTACTGGCTCTTCAAAGGCAGTGAATAGGGCTCATGTGATGGAAGGGGTGAACAGGAGTTGCAAGAAAGCCTCAGTCCAGGTACAACTCCTTCTTCCAGACTTAACAGGCCTGTTGGCAGGATGGGGCATTTGGAGGACATTGAGAAAGGCAGTCCGGAGACCGGCTGGAAATAACTGTTGGGTCTTTGCCATTGAAGCAGAAAGGGAAAGGTAGAGGCACTTGCCATGATTCTCCATAGCTGTCGCAAGCAATCTCTATTCCTCCCATTTTTCTTCACGTGAGGTCTTCATCTCCCAGTGCTTGAAGCTTTGTGGTCTGAGCTGAAGAGGTAAGCGTTTCAGCTGGGGCTGGAAGACATTCACATCCTTTGGGGAAAGGACACAGAGCAGGACACATAACACATGGTCGTTAGCTAGGTACACTCCCTCCTTGCGTTCATACTTCCACCAGGTTGCACTGACCTTCTTTGAACTGATGAGTCCCTGGTTCCAACTCCCATGGCAACAGATACTGTAGCTTCAGTAGAGCTCACTGGAAGAAAAAGACTTCAGCTCTTTTCTTCAGAAAAAAAAAGTGGTTTGATTAAACAAATAAAATCACAAGCATATTCATTTTAATGTCATTTCCCCTAGAGAGATAATTGGAAATTTATGGGGTTTATAATTTGAAATATTTACTTAGGGAAATTTCAAAACAAGATCACGCTGTTGCATTATCGTCAGAGTATTGTTTGACATAGAAAATAAAATGAAAAGTTTCAGTTAAAGTTAAGTAGCATACACCCTCTCTGATTTCAGGACAGTAATAACATAGTATTTTAACTATTATAGTATATTTACATGTTATTTCTCGTGGTCCATAGTGTAAAAATAGTGAAATAATCTAAAATGAAAAGATTTTTTTTAATTTTAAATGAAATTTTGAAATTTATAATTTCTCTTCAGAATCTTTATTCCATGTAAAATTTCAGAAACTATCTAAATGAGAACAACATCCCCTAACACATACACAGACACATTTCCAAAGGATGATATTGTCCACAGGATGGCAATACAGATTGGCAGCCAGCTCTGTTCGTCCAGTCTGGGACTATTGCATGTCTGGGACCATACCATGTTTGGGACCACACCACTCTTAGGTCTAGGTATTCCAGTAAATATTGCAGAAAAGAGGAAAATTATCTCAAATGCACTGCTATTGTCAGCAATGAGCGATACAGGTTAGAAAATCAGAATTATCTAGAGGACACGATTTGGTGGCCCAGCAACGTGATATTGGTTCCACATCCCTTTCCTTTGCATGTTGGTCTGAATTCCTCATGGGGGTGAGGTTTGGCTCTTCACAGCTGTTGAATTTCACTTTCCTGTGGTTACAGTTGCATATGCAGCTTCTGGATAGTGCACTAGTGTTGGCTTAGGAAGTAGATGTATTCAGAGTCACCAATTCTGTTCTGTTATTCTGCTGACGTCAGTAAAATGACTCTAGATTTATACCAGTGTAACTGAGAACAGAAGCTGGCCCAAAGTCAAGAACAGTCTCTCCTCTTCTCTGGCCCAGAACAAGCTGTTCGAGACACAATTGCCAGACCAAATCCTCAAGAGGAATGGACCAGTCTACCATACTGGTTTGGTAAAGACAAATGGTTCCTTCGTCTTGCTTTCCAGTTCAATGATCAAAGATCTGATGCTGGAATAGCTGAGGTCAATAGCAGAATTCACTTTGGCTTCCCCTTATGACTGCAAAGCATAGGTGCAAGTGATCTTGGATGAGGGAAACGCTGGCTTGTGCTAATAGCTTTAATTTTATGGCCATGGCAATCCAGATGTTGCCTTTCTTGATAGTTCAGGGAAATGTGGCTTAAGCACCACTGACTCTCTTGGCAGGCAGATCCCCTCCTCATTGAGGGTGTTGTGATCCTCCCTCAGGTCCATATGCCCCAAGGGCTGCTCAGAGAAGTCGTGTGCCTGGAGAAGCCCAGGCATCAGGGCAGATCAGAGAGAGCATTTTTCTCCAATACAGCCCAATATGACCAGCCCACACACCCTGGCAATCCAAGCAGCCTCACACAAGGGATGTTCAATTATGCTACACCAGACCACAAGGGTTTTTCGTTAGTTCTCCTGGACATCCTTCTGGCTCCTTGTCTCTGATAGGGACTCACATCCTGACACCTGACACTTAATACCCTGACACCTTCTTATCTGTTTTCCTTTTATCTGCACAATGAAGACATCAGTGCTGTGATCATTGACCAACAGCAGCATCCTCCATAGCCATTCATGGGCTGATCACTGCAGCCGTGCAGGATTTTTTGGCAATATCCAAGAGAGCTCACTGAGCCAGCCCCACTCAGGCTAAGGAGGAGTTGCCATCGACTGGGAGCGTTGTCTCAGCCTGCTGACCAGGCCTGTTTCCGTCCAGCCCTCTCATCTGATTATGAACTCCTGTGTGTGCCATGAACAAATGTGCACCTATGCAAAAAAGTCACCAATTCATTAGGGATTCTCCTATTTCCCATGGTAAGAAGCACTAACTATTCATTGTCATGATGAGCCCCTGGAAACCCAAAGCAGCAGCATGTGTGGAAGTAGAGCACACTGCTGAATAAACCTCAGCCAGCAGTCACCATAGGGCTCTAAGTTTTGGGCTGGAAGTGTGGATGGATGCTATATAGAGAGCACCACATAAAAAAAATCAGCTCACAAAGATTAAAAAAAATCTTTCCTCCCTTTCCCTTCTCTTCCCGTTCTCATGGGTAGTGCAGTGCTACTGACTTTAAACTGCTATGCAACTCCCAAGGGTGCTGCCAAAATGCCACTGTAGTGTCTCATGGCACAACACTTCAGCTAAATACCACCCCAAGGGGGTGGGGGAACCTTTATATATTGCAGCAGCAGTGATGTCATACACTCCAGCCAAGTTTGCTGGTTTGCCCAGCTCCTGTCTAGTGAAAAAAAAGGTTGACATTCAGTCTGTGCCAGGCCAGGAATAGTCTGTAATTTAACCTCCTCATCACAACTTGCTATGTACTTAAGAGAGACACTGAAAAAAGCCTCCTATTTAAAAGAGAGAGGAGGTTGGTTTCTGATTAGGCTGCTTGAAATCTGTGTATTCCTGTGAGCTTTTTCAGTAGCTCATATCAGATGATGCCTATTGTTAACCCCTCACACATTCCTCAGCATTTCCAAGCAGTTCCAAATGCCCAGTATTGCTTTCCTCTGTCTTTAAAATAGACTAAATTCAGACATTCTTAAATGTTTGAACTAGCTGAATCCTGACCTGATCTGAGCTCAAACACTGCACCTTGCTTGCTGGCTGCCATGTTTGTCCAGAAAGGTAAAGAAATGGGGCTTTACCAGGTTATTAAACCTGGCATGAACAGCTTCTTTGCCTGGTTCAGAAGTTGCTGTCATACCTATACAAGGGATAGCTAGATCAGTACAGTGCTGCTTTTTCCATCCAGTCCCAGTAATGATCTACACCTTGAACACTTGGTGCAGATACAGCTTTTCTAGCTTGAAACATTACGCTGCCCAAGTACAAGTGTTGTGTCCAGGCAAGACAAGGATCATCGCAAGGGTTTCAGAGTCAGTGACAGTCACTATTCTTTTCTTGATCAGTGGCGCTGAGTTGTTTCTGTAACAATGACTCCATCTAGGAAAACAATTTCCATCTAGGAAAATGTTTATAGTTACTCTACTCACTTTTCAGCAAAAGTTCTCAGTTTACAAGGGACAGTATGTTTCTCCAGACCTCTATCCAGGAGATCTGAAAGGCAAGCTTCCTCCTAGTTCAGGCACAACCTAAATGCCAATAAGCATTGTGCTGCTGTAATTTAGTCAGCGGCTCGTTGATGAGTGAGCAGAACATAATCACCATCTCCCACAGGTGTGTTGGTTTTGCACAGTTAAGAGTACCACAGAAGCAGTAAAACTGAAATTTAACCTCTGAGCAAAGAACTGAGCATACATCTCTGAAGAGACGATGCCCTTTTACGTCTGACTGCAGTCAGATGTAGCATTGTTTTTTGAGTTTTTTTCCTTTAGTTTTACGTTTTTTTACCCAGACTTCTTAAGCAGACCACAGAAAGCTCTGATTGGTACAAGCTTATCCCTAAACACACTGATAACTGTCATTCCTCAGGTGAGGTCCAGCAGACCATCACAGTGGGTGGGCCCTTGTTGCCACTTTTGCCGGTAGGATTTTAATATCGTGAGCTGACTCAAAAGTTTCCTTAGAGAAGACTGTGCTATTTGCATTACCTCAGGACCAGGCAGGAAATCAATATATTCTTGCAAAGATTAAGCAAACTAGCCTGAACCTTGGGAGTTTCCACAGCAAAAGAATGGCAGCAATGTATGTTCACCATAGCTGAGCTTTCCTTTAGCATATCCTGACTCTGATTCACGCATGGAAGCAAAAAGATGTTTTGTTTACTGCCCCTTACCATCCCAGCTGTCCACCTTTCCTCTCCTTTACCACAGCGACTGTGAAAAACATGGACTTTCAAACATCAGCTACATTAGTTCCCAGTCCACCAGATGACGTCTGTATTTATTGACAGTAGAAAGTCATATACAGGCGAAGTGGAGGCACATATTTTCCTCTGACTCCCTCTGAAAGGGTAGCACAGCAGGGATGTAGACAGCAGCAGGGAAAAAATCTTCTGGCACAACCCTTCTTTTTAGCCAGGAGTTGTCACCCAGCCTTTGCAATGGGCAGCATGCCAGGAAACCACTGCTCACTCAACTGTTAGTCTCTGCTGGGGCTACCAGAGTGTGCTGGAGCTAGTGACAGTTGTTTGCTAGTAACCTGACTGCACTCCACAAGCTATCAAACCCTCCAGGTATTTGACTATTGTTGCTCTGGGATGGATAGCTACCTGTCTTTTTGTAAGAAATCCTGTAAATCACTCCTAAAATGGTTGCAAAATGTGAACGAACAAATTAATGAACAAATAGGAGACAATCTTCAGATCATTCAAACAAATGTCTTTGTTTTCAAATTGTAGAGTTCACTTAAGATCAAAAAAATGCTGAAGCTTAGAAACATCCTGGGACACTACTTCTATCAAATTTACATCACTGGACTATTTCTACCTTCTCAGTAAAGATGGTTAGAAAAGAAGCCAAATACAAGTATGAGAGTGAGTTCTAAAGAGAAGAAGCAAATTACGTGGCAAGTATGTACCTGTATTTCCCATTTTTATAATAGTTAAGGATCAAAACCAGGAGCAGGATGGTCTTTAATTTGTCTTGTCTTTTATCTTGCTGCATTATACACAAAAATTGGGAGGGGGGGAGGTAAAACTCACTTTTGAAAAATCTTTGTACAAAGTAAGATGGAGAAGCTCTGTTAAGCTTATTTTATTTCTGGTGTAAATCTATTGTAGTTACACATAAGTCATTGGAATTGCATGGCTGGAAAAACAGGATCTAGATTCACTATGACACTTGGAGTCTAAAATTAGGTTGGCTGAGATTTTTTTAAATAGAAAAGGAAGGTGAGGAGTGTTTTCATTTGAAAAAACAACTGAGCCCAAGTAATTCAGCTGATAAGCTGATTAAGCTCAAGTCTGACTTCTCATATTTTGACCAGCACCAATAGGGAAAAACAGACCCTTTCCAAGAATCTCACTGAGATGGGCAAAGGTAGAATCATAGATTTGGACAGCTGGAGAGGCTGAAATCCAGATCTGAATTTCATTGCTCAATTCTACAGAGGATCCAAACTTGAGATGAAGATATCTTCCGCTTGCACAGAAGCTGCTACAGATGTGAACTGTGTTGTTTCAGCCCATCACAGGTTTGTAACCACTGTTTGAGGAAATGGAGATACAGATCAGACTTTCCTTAAAGAAAGAGTTTTAGACAGCTCTTGAGTATGCTTTTACACTGAGTCTCCTAGTAGTTTACTCAGTACCCTGCTCAAGTCCTTAAACATGAGAATAAGCATCTGAAGAGTTTACAGAAAAAAATTGTAAGGAGTTTTAATGTATAGATTTCAAGTACAGCTGAAGAGTCTATTTTGCTTTTCTTGTTCCATCCAAAGATTCCCCCATCCTGTACTCAGACTGACATGGAGATAGACAAAAACCCCAGGCTGTGGGCCCTGACTGTGCCTCATAATCAGGGATTAATGGAAGGCTGTGATATTTTATAGTTGTGTTGAATGGATTGCCTTTAGCTCTCAGCCATTCTGGAACTGAAACTAAATGTTCCCTATGCTACTTCAGTGGGTCTGCTAGAGTCCCCTAGACACTCCTGCCTTCTGCTGGCTAAGCTGATGTTAGCAGCCACTTCAGCTGCAACACACCAACCCAACCGTATTCTGCTGTGGGTGGCTAAAGGATTGTACACGAGCAATATTTGCCTGGAACATGCACAGTAAACCCTCTTTACCTGTGGGGCCATTTGGCTTTCTCAAACAAGGCTTGTGTTCACAGCAATTGTCACGACAAAGCTGTGACAATTGAGTTTTGTCAGCTTTTCTTTCATTTTGGACATAGTGTGCAATGATGTACGCAGTGACATCTTTTTTTAAGTGATTTTCGTTACTAATTCTTCCTGGCCAAAAATGGCTAACCTTCTTTGCTAAATGCATGTGCAGCACTTGAAATCGTTTATGGTTGGAGATATGGAAAGAGAAATATTTGAAATTTGTGTCTCATGTCCTTGTTTAAGAGCAGAAGTAAAAAATATGAGTTAAACATTTTTTTTAATGACTCTTTCCAGAAATTTAATTATCTACCATGAGCTATTTGAATTGACCAAAATAACAATGATTTTTAATGTTGTTTATTGTGTTGCTAGTCAACGACTGATATATCTGGAAAATGTTCTCTATCTGGTAGTGTTAATATAGAAAAATGATAATTTATTATTTTTGGCTTTGCAGAGAAGAAAATTTCCTTCAGCTATTCTGTAAGATGAGTCAATGTGCAGCCCCACTGTCCAGAGGAATGGCTTTGTGCTTGTGAGTTGCAAACAGCTGGAACTGCCTCACACAGCCACCTGCCGGTTCAACATCTGAAGTTAATCCTCTGGATAATTCATTAATGACTCTCATGAACAATGCAGGGAAATAAGAAACACACAGAAGGACATAGTGATTCCTCAAGTATTGGGAGTCTCCTGGATGATGCAGACAGAGAGGTGAGCAGCCTCACAGATCGGGCCTTCAAAAGTTTGTGTGTAGCAGAACTCGAAGACTCTTACAATGAACCAGAACTTGCCATTTCACCAGACTTTGCCCTCCAGTTGTCTGCTAAAATTCACTCAGGGACATTAAACCATGACATCAGGAAAAGCAATGTCTGTGACAAGCTAACAGCAAGAAACAATGAACATACAATATGGGCTTCAACATTCCAACAGTTACCAAAGCGTGCTCCGGAGGAGAAAAGGATTGCTAAAAATAACACCTTTGCTATGGAAAGGAAAACACTGAATTTGCCAGTCCCTGGTCCAACAAACAATAAGCATGTTTCAAAAGTGTCCTCATTGATTAAGACATTTGATAAGACTGCAGACCAAGGGTCAGGAAGTTCTCTGACAGCAAATAAGCAGCCCATTAAGAATAGCTTTCAAAAACATAAAATAAATCATGGAAATGATATTGCTTGCTGGGATGATACAGACATTTTAAGCATCCATCAGGAACTTTCTGAATTTTCTGAAGCTAGTCCAGGTAGTCACTGTCTCAGTGGCAAACATGAGCCACAGGAAAGACCTAACAAAGTGGACATGGGTTATGGTGGCTCTGATGGTTATTATCCTGTGCTGATTGAGATGTCAAAAGTAGCCAAGTCAAATTTTTCCCGTTCTTCTAAAAAGGCCTTAAAAAACAGAAACGTAAAAGTTAATGAACCAGCAAAAAAAGGTAATTTTCTTCACAGTGAGAATAGTGCCTTTGAATCATGGAATGTTCATCATAAAAAACTGACTGAAAAGGAGGAATTTGTTGATATAAAAATGAAAAAGGAAGGTCTTTCATACCTGGAAGAAGCACCATTTATTAAAGGATCCCACACAGGTGAACATAAATTGTCACCTGTCACAACCACTGTTGCTAAGATGCAAGAGAAAGATTTTCAGATGAAGCCAATTCCACCAGAAACTGCTTTCCCTCTCCCAGCTATATATGTACCTCAGGGTCCCCTCCCTTCAGAAAACGAATTTCCTGCTGCTTTTCCTCCCACACCTCCCCCTAGGAACCATGCACACCAGGGTCCCCCTCGGCCACCTCTGGCCACACAGGCACTTCCTCTTCCACCCCCAACCCAGGAGGGCCATACTCCAACACCTCCTACCTCTGACGCCCCTCCCGTGCCACCACCCCCAGTGCCAGCTCGACTTTCCCCCACTGCCATGTCCCAAGCCTCTGTCTCACCCCAGTCTATGTCCTATAGGATGGTTTCACCCTCACTAACGTTCCAGGCACCCAGCCCACCTCCACCAAGACCCCAGCCCATCTTAACTGAAGAGGAATCCCCCACCCCCCAACTGGGCAATACCTGTCCACCCTGGAGAAGACAGAGGGTTGCAGAAGGGGCAGCAGAGAGGAGACAGGCTGCAAAGGAGAAGTTCACAGACAGACACAAGACATGCTCTTTGTCTGAAAAGCCGACTGGTGCCAAACCTGGTCTGGATGTGACTCCTCTGGGTAAACAGGTAAACTCCCCTAGATCAATCAGTCCCTCTTTCAACATCACCGAACTCCTAACACCTGTCATACCACCAAAACAGGAGGTGGACACTGCTGAAAGTGAGCTGATCCCACTGACACCTCCTCCCACTGAGAGCACATCATCGAGAGACCATGAGGAGAGCAGCTTGGGCGATTATAGGTCTTGGGATAATTACAAATTGACAGCATCAAGTCTGTTATTCAACTTGAAGGATGTGCGTAAACGTGTTAAAAGCATCTATACCCCTTCTCCCCTGTTAAGGGCCTTGGAGGAGAAAAATAAAACTAGGGAAAATATACAGGAGAGTACAAAAATGAATGCCTCACTCTCGACTGTGCATGAAAAAAGTAAGAAAAATATTATAGAGAAAGATGAATTGAGTGATATAGCTTCTGTACTGTCTAGCAGTGTTCAGGAAAAGGATGATAAAACTGACCCAACTGGACACTTTGCAGACAATTACCTGACTTTGACATCACCCCAGACAACAGCAGACCTTTCCTTTTACCGCACTGGAGACAGCTTGCAGCAAGATGATTCAAAACATGAAGAACTGGTTAAAAGCACAAGAGATAATGAAAACTCCTCCTCGTTCAGACATGAATCACATGAACCTGATTTAGGAAAACATCTGCAGTATCCAGCACAGAGACCGTTCAGTAGAAACAATGTGGACAAAACACCTGGGCAGCCCATGCAAAATCACAGTGCCCAGAGTGAGGAAAATGAGAGACAAGCTGCTATTCAGAATGAAAATTTTGCCTTCAAAACACTCCTAAGCCAACTCTCACCAGTAGAAGATGTACCTTACAGTGACACCCAAACCAACATTGTGGTATCTGGCCATGAAGCACAATGCAAAAGAAGCGCTAGTTCTTCGGAGCAATCTTATGTCTCCACAGTAGAGCAGCCACTTCAGGAGGAGCCATTTCTACAAGTGCCCGAGGTGCAGACAGCATGCCTTCAAGAAAGCCAGAGGACTGAGAGTGAAATGGATGCAGATAGTAAGAAAAGAGACATGGAGAGAGGGAAAGAGGTTGGTGAAGATGAACTGCAATATTGTGCTTGTATCAGTCCTGATATTAATGCAGCAGAGAAGAGGGAGGGAAAGGTTACTGGGAATGAACAGAGGAGCTTAATGAAAGAGAATGTAGGGAGAGAGAAAAGGGAAGAGGCCAATAGCACAAATTCTGCTTCTGACAGTATAAGGGACATGTCAATCCCCAGGTGTGAGGAACCGCAAACACCATCATCTTCAAGCTCAACCAAACCCAGCCTGTTTATGATTAAAGATAACACATTCAGATCGCCTCAAGTAATAAAGGCTGTCAAGCTGCCCCTATTCAGGTCCTTTTCCCTGGATGATACAGTTAGCAGCAGTTATAAGGAAATGGAACGTAGGTATATGCCCCCAGCAGTTTACAACAATCAGCATCGAAACTTGTTGCATGCCCAGGAGATAGGCTGGTTGGCGTCAAGACACGGAGGTCAGCAGAATGTGAAGGATGGAGCAACCGACAGAGAGAAAGAAGCCAGTGAGCCTGAATCTACTTCAGCAACACTGGATCCCCATCTTCTGGAAGGTACGGAGACGTTTTCATTAGGGAAACTGATGGAAGAAGATAGAAAGACTTTTGTTTTGTTAACTAAACGTGGGAAAAGGAATGAGGAAAGTATCTGCAGAAATAAGGAGAAGCCTCAGAATACAAGGGCAAGATACAGCTTAACACAGCCAATTATAGGTCTGGAAAATGACCAAGCACAAAACAACCCCAGCTATCCTGCAGAAATTAAAACGAACTACTTTAAGAATCATCATTTATCTAACCGCAAAGGTGGCTCTTGTGCAAAAAAAATAATCACTAGGGAGACAATTTCCCCTGTGACTGGCTCCATATCAGAGGACCACACATATTCTTCTGTATCCCATGATGCTTTAGAGGACAGCCTACATACAGAAGGTGCACCGATTTTGTTAGACAATCTTATATGCTCTGCTGTTCCAAGCCCCAGGTCAGGCAGCACAATGCCCTCTCTTGCTGCCAGTTCACTGTCAGATAAACCAACTGTTTCTGGCCTTAGAGAGACGGAGGATGTTATAAACCCTGCCTTGCTGAACATGGCACTAAAGAGGCAAGCTTATATGCCTGCAGAAGAGACACCTGATTCAGCACAGAAGAACCTGCTTTCTGATGTTTCAGGGGAAGTTGTGAGGCTGGAGCCCGAGGGACTTGGTGAGAGAACAACAGGCAAGCCACCCACTGTACCACCAAAAACAGAAAAGGCTCTGCGTCGGGCTAAAAAGCTGGCAAGCAGGAGAAAGAAAATGCAAGAGCAGCAGAAAAAACATCAGACTGAGCATACAGATGCTGTAGGGAGAAATTCTTCTCATTCTGGACAGACAATAGCATCTGCTTCACCCTTAGGATATTCTCCCTTCCATCCTCACCTTCACTCAAGTTTTACTCCCACAGAAACTAGTACTGGAAGACTTAGTGTTGCACCAGCAGTAGGCCCTTCACCCTCTTCAACCCAGCGTAAACTCCTCCAAGACCCTGACTCTGGTCAATACTATGTGGTTGATTTACCAGCTGAAGTTAATTTAAAGACATTTTATGACCCAGAAACTGGCAAATATGTTCAAGTCTCAATCCCTTCCTTGGAACAGAATTTATACCAGTCCACCTCTTCAGAAATTAAGAATTCTCCCTATGCCTCCTACCCTAGAGTGTTGCCTTTACCAGCTTCCTCAGTAGCAGTGCTGAAGTCACCTTCTCAGCTCTCTAAACCTACCTGGTCAATATCTGCTGTACCAGGACCAGCCGAACTACTTGAAGACGTCCAGCAGGACTACAGATACACTGAATCTGTGGACACTCAGCCCTATGTTGAACCAGCCTCTTACTCCTACGGTCAAGATGCTGAAGAAATTCAGGTTCACTTAGGAAAGGACATGAGCCCAACCCCAAATACTGGCATAGTGACCCTCACTGATTTAGACGATTTTGCTGCTGAAGGAGTATCTTGAAAACTGAATAACAAAATATGCCAGCTAGTGTTTTTAAGAACTGTTTGGACAGACACATGCACACAAAAGCACATGCAGATTTGATGTTTGTACACTTTGTCTGAATCTCATTGTGGTTTGGGTGGGAAGGAAAGTGAAAGCTGACCATGTTGAAAGATGCAAGGTGATGAGCACTCTGAAGAAGAGTGAAATTTAGGAAGCACCAAATTATCAGTGAGATGAAGGGGCAATGCCAGCTAGACAAATGCATATGACAGTATAAAGCCACTGCTTGCTGCTGCTTCTGTTTTGCCATTAAGGAGGCTGGGATAGCCAAAGCAAGTGTCCTTTTACCCAGATATGTTGCATGACACATGAGACAAAATAAAACTGTGAGACCATCCTATCCATCCTATGATACCTAGGACAGATGCTGCATCTACTGAACTTTCCTCACTCACTGCCTTTGAACTATATTGACAAGTAGAAAGTATGTGGCTACAAATACGCCATATTAGCAAGATTCATTTTTTGCACACATCGATTGCCCCAATGTTATTGACAAGAAGATTGTATACTGGATGCACAATATGACAGCCATGTCAAAAACCCTCAAATTTTAAACAACCAAAATACACTTGCAGCTGCTCTAGACTTCTCATATACTTTTGCAGTGACCACTAACATACTACTGAATTCTTTATATTTCTGATAATATCCAAATAGGTTCCCCCAGGGTCAGAGTTTATTTATAATGCAACTTAAAACTTCAAGTTATCTTGATACTTGGCCTGAAATATTTTGGTGAGTAACAAGGTTGAATGAAATCCCATAACAGTATTTAATTGTTTGTTAGGACAAGAAGTTCTTTGCTTATTGTAATTGAAATGTGTTTTGTTTTGTTTTCAGGCTCCCATTGAAACATGGCACTAACTTTTAAAACCTGAAAAATGTACCTAATTTTGATCTTGTGAATTCTGTGATTTAAAACAAACAAAAGATGCAAAGCATCCAAAGTATTAATTTCTAGAAAAATGTTTTTTGAAATTATCAGTTTTATTTGAAAGATCTGTATCAAAATATCACTCATCCTTGTGTAAGCTCTTTTTTATCATTGTAGATAATGAGGGAACCTAGGTGAAAAGATGAAAGAATTGAATGTAATGTGCCTGCTTATAAATATCTGTATTTGGAGTATTGGTTTAGGTTTTTTCTGTCTCATTTTCATACTGTTTTCCCAGTTAAAACTGAAGTGCAGAAGCTTTAAGGAAGAATTAAGCCAGTGACTTTCAGCCTGATTCACATCTTAGGCTGTTATTACAGGATTGCTTTCAGTGAAGCAGCTCTTCACTTCCTGAAAAGAAAGGGAAGAATCAGGCCTTTTGACAATAAATACAGGCACTTCTCCACTCTCAGTGCTAATATTTATGGCAGAGGTTTTCAGTAAATTTGCCAGGATTGAAGCTGCTCTCAGAACACAGAGCAACACTTGGTGCTTTGACTCCTTCCTGAATCTGAATTCAGCTCTCAGCCTTCCTCCATCCCTGACAAGAGCCATGTATTCACAACCTGCCCTGATCCCACCAGACACTTCCTTTCATCAGTGTCATTTGCTAAAACATTTCCCTTAGAGGTGCTAGACAAATACTAAGGGCATTGCTTCATTGATTTCAGTGGGGCTTGAATTTAGCCTTTAATGATTTTCTGAGGTTCATTTCACCTGTTATACATTTTGTGATTTGGTAGGTTTGGTTGCAGCAGGGGTGTGGGGTGGAAATGGAGAAGCTTGTACTGGTATGGTTTGGGTTTTGAGCATATTCAGCCAAATGCCCATATTTGAATAAACATCTATTGTTCAGTCTCTGCCATTGGAAGTTTTCAACATCTGACTGGATAAAGCCCTGAACAACCTGGGCTGGCCTCCAAACTGACCCTGCTTGAGCAGGAGGTTCATGCAGAGACCTCCTGAGACCTTTTGCAGCCTGAATTAACCTATGATCCTGTTCTGCAAACATTAAAATTTTTAAATCAACTTTGACTTGGAACTCAGAAAATACAGTCTCCCCTGGGAAAGGGATCTTTTTGAAAGACATAAAAAAAAATGAAAATCAATATTGTTTCAGGAACAAAGACTAATTTTCAAGTTGTTAAATTAAGGGAAATGGCTCTTATTACAAAAATTTTTCTTTTTTTTTGTCACAAATATTTTGCTAAACTGATGGTGCTATTCATGTTGCCCTTCTTTGTCACTCTATAGAGCATAACATCTATCCAGGATAGAGCAGAATCTAATCCATGTTAAAATATAGACAAATAGATCTAGGTTTCCATGGTACATTTAGACAAAACCTATGTAATCTGAAAGCCTAGCAGAGTGTACAAGCAATTTTTTTTTGTGTGATATTATAAATTTAAATGCCCTTAACAGGCGCAAGTCAAGGAGTAGGCTCTCAGAGGACACGATAAACACTTGCTTTCCAAGGGAAGACTATGGATACAAAGTATCTGTGCACAGATAAAAAATAAATGGTAATATGATAACAAAAATGTATGACTGTATTAAAAAAAAATCCTTTTACTTTGTTAACTGTCATTTGTTTTGTAGATATGCACATTTCTGCACCCTTTTATGAATGGTCTTCTTAAACTCTTCTTGTGGAGAATGGGATACTCCATTATACTACTTCTAGGTATGTGAGGAAAGCAGGGTGTACTTTTCACTCTGCTGTGAAGGTAAACTGAAACATGGGCACCTAAAAAGGAGTCCTAACTTGAATAACACATACATTTCAAGCAGGACTTCTTCATTTCAGTCTATCCTTTCTGCTCGCTTCAGGGAGCTACGTTCACAGTGGACTGTGTCTCTGACCTTGTCCCAGAGGGAGTTTCAACATAGAGAATTTGTAGCTAAACTTTTGTAGCAAGGTGGGGGGTCTTCTCCAAGGTAATAAGTGACGATACCTGAGGAAATGACCTCAAGTTGCTCCATGGGAGGTTTAGATTAGCTACTGGGAAAAATTTCTTCACTGAAAGGGTGTTCAGTCATAGGAATAAGCTGCCCGGGCAAGTGGTGGAATCACCATCCTTGGAAGTGTTCATAAGGTGTGGTGAACACTTGGTGCTAGGTTAACTGCTGGACTCAATTATTTTAGAGGTCTTTTACAACCTTAATGATTCTATGAAATGAAACAAACAGAACAGATGAGAAAGTGGTTCTTTTCATGTATCCAGAGCTTTCCCTAGAGCACTTTGCCACAGAGATTGAATGATATTATAAACACAAAATGTTTATGTGTTAAAAGGAAGACAAAGTACACCTTTGAAATAACAAATATTTTTCTTTCCTTGCCCTTTTTTGTTTGTGTTTGTTGGGGGGATATTTTCCATTGCTGCTGTGGGAAACAAGGCTGGAAGAGGTCAACACCAGGCAAAATGACAGCTGTGAATTGACCCCTTTCTTTGGGGAAGGGGTGCTATGGGAAATGTGCAATAATAGTCATGAAAGCAGTTGTAGGAAAGCACTGTTTCATGACAGTGACATTAAATCATAGATTAAAGAGATGCTGAGACAAACTAAGCTAAATTCTGCCTCGCTAGCAGACGGGAATTAGGACTAAAGAACACAGCAGGTTTTTTATGTGTGTGGAAGCACGGTAGGCTGAAGGTAACAGGGGCCATTGTTTTCACTGTTTTCCTTCTCCTGCATGTGGCCTTTTTGCATGTTGCATTTCTTGGTGCCCTGAGGCTTGTTTACAGTGGTGATTCTTCCTTAGCAGATGTGGCTGAGGTCGAACCTGACTTACACCTAGTCTTTGGTTCTAGGGCCAGAACTTCCTCCTTTTGGACCTCCTCCTCCTGAGGCAACTGCAATGCCTCCAGTCAAGCTGTCACATGGCAGACTTGGACTGCAATCCCACAGCCATGGCTTTGTCCCAAGGGTTTGAATTTCCTCGTGCAAAATGCTGGATTTGTTTTAGAGAATTCGGTTTAATTAAAATGGCCTACAGGCATGGATTTTTGTCATCTCCTCCTTGGGTGTTCAGTGCCTTCCTAAGTAATTTGTTCAAGAAGATGTGTGTCATTGGCACGTTCCATCAATGCAACTGTATTTGCAAATAGGTAATTATTTATTAATTAATGAACAAAATAAATGGGACTTGTTTTGCAATACTTGAATGCCTTTTAGCCAGCTTTTTCATTGCAATTATATGTCTTTGTAATTTTGTCTCCAGTTATGCTGGCAGAAAAAGTTGACAAGAGGGAATTGTGCGTGTGCATGTGTGTGGTACACAGTTAAAAGATCCAGGAGATGACAGGATGCAGGGCTCCATCCCCCTTCCTCCTGTTCTTAAAGAGAGGGAACAGAAAGCTAGGCAGAAACACCTTTGGTCCAGGACTCCTGTGGTCATTCTCACCCCTCCCTGCTGTGCAAGGACAGTGGTCTGGCCAGAGGACCTTGGGAATGTGGTGCCAGCACCCAGTCGTAAAGCACTGGAAGAGGATCACCTTCTTACCCCGGGGACATCAGGGCTTTTGTATTCCCTATGCCCCATCCATCTGGGGGAAGCTACTAGGAGTGTAACTTGGTGTAACTTGCTTTTTTTCACATTTCTCCTCAGTTTCTCTTACTGTATGTTGCATTATTAAACACAGCAGGGACCCTTCTCAAAGTGATTTTGGCTCAGTCCTTGTCCAGACTGTCAATTTTATTTAGGTCTGCTCTACTTTGGTCCCTGACTAGCCAAGCAGTCCTTGCTGACAGCGAAAGTGTTACTGTGATTTGAATATAACAGACCATATGGAGAATAGTTGGCTAGTTATGGTTTTTACCAGAAATACACTGAGAGATTTACATATGTGTATTTGGGGGATACACTCTGTTTCCTTTCTGAGTAAATAAAGAACTTTAAGTTTGATCCCCTCTCTCACTGAAAAGCAGCATCAGAAGCTAGTGATATTGTACATGATGAGTTACATGGGCTCTAGTGAATACATATAAATGTGTAATTTGGAGGAACTGGTGTACATCAGTCATTTTTATTAAAGAAACTCTGCTTCAGAGCCTTATAGGAGATAGAAAGAATGTGGAACACTTGCGTAAATTGAACTTGAATGTGGGGGGTTTTGTTTTTTTGTAAAATGCTCATTATAACAGCAGAGGTCAATGATTGATTTATTTTTGTCTTTAGGATGATTACTCGGGTCTTATGATGATCTCACATTTACCACTGATATTAAACATAATATAAACATGATATTTACCCTGATATTAAACATAACATTATAATTATGGGGTTTAAATGGATAGGGAATGGCTGAAAATGACCTGTGATCTTCCCTTGCTTCTTTTGATATTCTCAAAGTTTTCATGATGTTGCTTTTTCACATTAGATAGTCAGGTCTTTGGTACTCTATGGCTAATTAGAGACTTCTTTTAATATGTTATTGAACATACTTAGAAAGCAGCATTTCAATAGCACAGAAGAGAAATCATTTATGTCCCAACTGACTAAAGCTCTGTGTTTTTATTAAAGCAGATTTAACTCAAGCCTTGAGGAAGCAGCTTTCGGTCCTAAAACATAAGCATTTTCCCCTGTCGAAGTCCATTGAACAAATTGAGACCTGGGTACTTTGAAAGAAGGAGAGTGGGAAGACTCTGTGAGAAGCAGGGACAATCTTTGAAATCCTTCTAGCAATGGAAAGAAGTTGATTTCCAGCAAAAAGTAAAAAAATATTCAAAGCTGGAAATGCACTTTGAAAAGTCAGGCCTTGTCAAAGGCAAAGCTGCCTGACAGGCTGACTCTTCCCTGTGCTGACTTGGACTCCCTTATCCTGGAGCTCCCCAGTGTGTTCACACTCCTGCCCACTGGCATTCAGTGTCAGAGCTTCGTCTCATCACAACTGTCCCTTTGGTTGGTTAAAACTGGCACAGGAAGTGGCAACATTCAGAGCACATAAAAGTGGAATTACTGCTATGCCAGAGTTGTCAGTGTTGTCACCAAAAACATGAAGCATTTCAGATGAGCTAAGGTGGCCTTCTTCAGGATCTTCCTTACATTGACAGACCACAGATGGCAGACAGACTCTGAGATAAACATTGATCCTTCTTTCTGTTCCTAGCACTGATAAGCTGTGGGAGATGAGAACTGGATATGGCCCAAGAGAGAGTCTTTCCTTGATTGCACTGAGATTGCTCAAAGTCTATTGGCAGAATCAGTTTCTGCTGGTGAGCACTGACTGCCTGAACAAGTCCCCTGAGACTGCATCCCATGAACGTGGGTGAAAACATTCCAGCATTATTCTATGCCAAAGCTGTGCTATTTGAAGTTTTCAAAAGGAACAGTCAGGAAAAAAATGAAAGGAGAATGGCATATCACTTTATAATGACAATGTTATTGTTGATCAATATGGATGTTTACCTATATAGAGGTGTATCTAAGTATGTCTACAAGTCTATATAAAATGAGATACAGTATTCATGTTCTTCTGAAGTGTCTGGACATAGTCTAAAAAGTGCTCTTGAACTATTCTTTGCATCTCCCACCTGTCAGTCCACATGTTCTATTACTTGTCAGGTCTGCCCCAGGAGAGCTCCATTTTCCTCTGGGATTCCAATGTTCCACTACCCCAGGGAGATGAACGTTTGCGTCTTTCCATATTCTTGCCAGGGCTAGGGTTGTACCTGGGATGCCCCCATACCTGCATTTCTGCTGGAGGAGTGAGTGGTTGCCCACACACAGTCTCCTCTTGCTGAAGGTGGTGCAGTTGGTGAGTCCTGAGCCAGGCAGGTGGACTGGGCCAGGCAGAACTGTGAAGGGAGATGGAGATGCCCTTTTGCTTAAGACTCCCACTTTGTGAAACACCTGCACTATCAATCTGAGACAGCAAACACATCTCCTGGCAACAGAATCAGCCCCAAGGGTTCAACCCAGCAGCAAAACTGGCCTTAGCACTGATCCTGCTCACAGTAAACTCCTTACCTTAGCAACCAGATGAGCCCTAACATAAACCAAGCAGGATCAAATACCAGCTGGAGTACTGGACCAAAAACCTACTGACACAGTCAAGTCACATGCCTGCACCTTAGCAAGAATTTTCCAATAAAACAGCTTCCTGGCTGAAAAGGAGATTGCTTTGACAACACTGAAATTGCTGGTAAAAAAAATCTGTACGTTTGGAGTGTGGTTTTTTCCAACTGCTGTGTTCTGAACTGGGAAATTTGATCAGAAGTTATTGAGAAGTCCTCATTTGCTTACATGGACATCTGTGTAAACAGTCCTGGACCTTTTCTTTTGGACTGAAACAATTTTTTAAAGAAATCATTAATTTAAAAACAGATATTAAAAATTTGAAACTAATGCAAAAGTTTTCAAATATCTCAAAGTGTTTCCAATAGTCCATATTTGTTTATTACTTTGTAGTTTGTTGGGCTGAATATTGTTTTGACTTTTGTTCTCCCCATGTTTGTTTTTTGTTTTGTTTTTGTTTGAGGTTTTTGTTTTGGGTTTGGGTTTTTTTGTTGTTGTTATGGTGGGGGTGGTTGGTTGGGGTTTTTTTAATCCATTTTGGAATGAAGAAGAGATGTCACCATCATCAAAATCGCTGTGTGAGGAGAAACCAGTTTCTGAGTCACAGACAAGTGCTCCTAGCACTGGCTGTCACAGATGAGCCACTCTGGAGCTCCCTCTTTTGCTGGACTGTCCATGGCTCTGGATACAGCTGCCATGGTACTAGCTCTGTGCTGACAATCTTCTTATTGACACTGTGGGGGGGATGATGTTCCTGCTGATGACTCACTGTGTTTTCAAGTGGCAGAGGAACCTGGCTGTAGTTTTATATCCTTGTAGGCATCTAAGACATGTTTAGTGGTGTACAATATCTGCATCCCTGGAGTATACTAAGAGAGGTTATCTGATCAGGCTCAGCAGGACACTAACTGCATGGTTTGCACTTGTCAATTTTTACACTTCTCATCTGAGAAACCCAAACAACAGCCTGGTCCTTGGAAAGCTTCCAGTCACACTCACGCTGTGGGAGTGGCACTAACGTAAGGGCAATGGTACATCCACACTGCTTGAAGTGCTCCTTCAGCACGTGCAGCTTTGTCAGTAAAATGAACAAAGGACAGTGGCAGTAAGGCCACCCTGTAAGTAAAGCTGACCCAGTGTAAAACTAAGGTTTTATAAATGTGACTGTGTCTATACTGTGGGCATTTGCTGGAACAGCATCGTCAGCCATGATCACGTTTGCCTGACAGGGCTGAGCAGGAGAAAGCTTGTGATGCTCAGAGGCCATAGATAAAACCACACAGATCCCAACACGTGCTTTTTATTACAGCTAATCCTAAATCCAGCCTGAATCAAACCAAACCCTCGCTCATTCCTAATTCCCCCAGATTAATGCTCACATTGCTGTGTGTATGCTGTCAACTGATAGAGCACACAGTAGACATCATCTTCCATACCATACTGGGCTGTTTTAAGACTTTTTCTTTTCCTCACCACTTATTGCCATCTCTACTGGCAGAAGCACTGGCAGAGAGCAGGGGGGAAGGATGAAGTAAGAGCAAGGTGCTTCAAAGGTGTAATCATTTACAAAAGTGATATCTGGCCAGTGCAATTCTCCCTTCCAGCAGGTACTAAAGTTTGCTTTCCTATGGGCCTTGTTAATTTGTGGCCCAAACATACCCATCCTAACATGCAGGAGCTATTTTGTTTGGGCACATATAAGTCCCAGAGACAGAGACTATGAAATCTAAGCTAAATCACCTGCCCATGCAGTTGCAGCAGGAGCAAGATGTCTCCAGTACCTCGGCTCCTCTTTTCCTATCTCATTAATGTAATTCTAAAATCTAGTTAATAACGATGACTCTCATTCATTCACTCCTCTCCTGTTTTCACAGTGTCTGGCTAACAGTGTATTGCAGAACAGAAGAGTCCCAGTGTCACTATTTTAATATGTATCTGATTCATCAGACTGGCGCAAAGGCATAGCTCTAAACTCAGCGGATTATATTTTTAAAAGTCTGATTTGATCAGAACTGGATAGAAACACAGAGTTTCCTTCCTTCACAAGAGGTGGCTTCCCAGCCTCAGCAACTCTCTAGACACTTGAGATTTTTACAGAGCAGCAGACCTACAGTATTTTAACCCAAAAAAAATTTAATCCCACCAACCAGCTACTTCAATTTCAGCTAAGATCAAGTAATGCCTTTGTGAGGAACAAAGAGTATCACTTTTATCTTCAGCTGTACTGCTACTCATCTCTGGTGATGATGTGATGCAGACAAGGCAGCCTGGCATTGAGCAGCAGAGTCACTGGGAGTCCCAGTGAAGGGACAAGTCATCTCCCAAGCTATGGAGGCTGGTTCAGTTACTGAAAAGAGGAACCCCTTAGCAAAAAATACCTCCCTTTGGTGTGTCTGTACTGAATAAAACAGAGTAAAGTAGGGGTCACATTGGCTTGTCATGGCACAAACAGATCACTAGGAAAAAAACACTGAATAAAAAACACTCCTCCTCCCTTTCCTTCCAGCTGGGACCCATGTCGTGACTCCACCCCACAGCCTCATAGTGGAGGTAGGGATAAAACTGTGCAGTGAGTCCTGGGCTTTGCTGACAAAGTGCTCTGTGGGGTGCATGAAGCTGACTCACCTAAATGCTGCTCCTCCCCTGCGGAGGGAAACCCCACCAAAAAAAAAAAGATGAAGCTGCAATTTGTGTGCGCATACACACACACACACACATACAGACACACACACACAAATGCCTGGCTGCTTGTTGTGTGTGTCATTTGTCTGAACAACAAGCTGCAACATTGGTCTGGTTTACTCCCAGGTTCAGAGCCACAGGAGAAGTATTCAAGTATTTGGCTTTCTGAGAGGGACTTTGATTTTCTTCTGACCCCTGTTGGATGG